TTTTTAAACTTAAAAACTATAGTAATCTACCAAAAGAATTCGTAAGATCAAAAATCTTAACTATAAAAGCTGGTATGAATGATCAGAGAACAAATTTTGTTTATCCTCACAATTTTCAGGTTAATATAACCCCTTACTGGTTATTAGGATTTATCGAAGGTGATGGCCATTTCGGTCTGAGAGCTAAAGAACATATCCGTTATTTTTCCTTAGAGCAAACACATTTACAGAGGTATACTCTTAATCGCGTTAAAATGTACTTTGAAGGGCTAGATAGTAACTTGCTTTATGACTCAAGATTCTAACACAATAAGAAAATATGACTAACCAGCGAGATAAACTAGTAAACCTTCAGTAAGACTTTCTATCACAAGTTTTAAATATTTCACAGAAGTAATGATACCTCTACTGGACAGTTTAACATTTTTCTCTAAGAAAGGAATGGATTACGAAGATTGGAGAAGTGCTGCGATGTTAAAACTAAGAAATAAACGTTTAACACCTGAAGGTAAAGATTTGATAGATTTCCTTTGTAGTTGAATGAATAAAAATAGATTAACTACTAATACTGGTACCCTAAATAGTCTGAATCCTCAACAGGAAAATCTTATGGATCTTATGGATCTTATGGATCTTAGAATAAAAGAGATGATCACGGGAGAAAGATCAGGTGTTTGGGTTTACGATAAAGGTGTATTAGTTAAAGGTTCCCCCCTTTTTAAATATAACTCAAGGTTGTAAAGGTTGTAAAGGTTGTAAAGGTTGTAAAGGTTGTAAAGGTTGTAAAGGTATTTTACCTAAGTCCTCTTACTTAGATCGTGTAGCTTTAGTTAAGAAAAGATATTTATTTTTATCAAAACCCTTAAATCTTTAAACCCTTGTGGTGGAATTTCCGCCACTAAAATAGTAAATAAACCTAAAAGGGGTAATTAATTAATAGAGATGGTACATTTAGTTAAAATTTATATTCTAGATTAATGGATCACGGGGAGCAGTGGTGAATCAGATATAAGTAAAATTAGTAAAATTAGTAATATAAGTTATATTAGTAATAATGAACCAAGCAGCACTGGTAATAAATAAACCCCTTAATAATAAGAGTAAATTATAATATCTCTTCTCTAAGCAATATATAAAATAAAAATGATTATACTTTAAAATTTAAAAAATCTAGGTATTAACTTAAATGATGGTAGTGGACAAGTTTCTCTGGCTCTTTGTATATTATTATTAAGCATCTTTTCTCAATTTTGTTTTATTAATATTGTAGCATATTTAGTTGTATTATTGCTGATTGACAAAGAATATGTTAAATGTAAAATGGAACAATATAAAATATTAAAGATTGTTATTAATTTTAATAGAAAAACTAGTTTAACCTACCTAACCCTTGAATTTATAATATATATTTATGTTAATAAAGTTATACTTTCTTCTTGTTATAAATTGGTGTCTGCTCATTATTTTTAATGTTACCCATCTTAAAATAAGTTAACCCTATTTCAGTGTTGATGTAAATTTAGAGATATATTTCAATATAAACTGTATTTATTTGCAGGTAAAGTTGTATCTTCTAACAGTTAAATTTTAATAAACTTCTAAAAGGAGAGTATAACTTAATAGGTAAAGTAAATAATAATTATATAGTTGACTATAACCCCAGTTCGAATCTGGGTGCTCTAGAGATTGTTATCTAAATAAGATTTAAATAATAAAAACTTAATTTAGCTTAATCTTAGTTATTGATGTTTATAATGTTATTACTATTTTTCTTAGTAAGGTTTATTAAGGTTAAGTAATTATTACTTTAAATTAATAGAATTAATAGAAATAATAGAAATAATAGAATTAATAGAATTAAACAGGATAAGTTATAAAAACTAAGAGAGACAAATATAAAAATAAATAAAATGTTTACAAGTAAAATAATAGCTTCTTTTTCTTCAGTAGGACTTAAAAGGAGTAATAAAAATATAGAAAATGTAGTAGCCTCTATTGTCCAATATAATAGAGAAATAGACTATAACAGATTATTAGAAAAAATAGAAATAATGAGTAAATTAACAAGTATTTTCTCAAATAAAAAATATGAAAATAAACATAGGGGCGAAATATCCAATAGGTGTAAATATAAAAATAGATAATAAATATTTTAAGGTGATAGATATCAGTCTGTATACATTTTTAGATTTAGTTGTAAAATGAATAACGATTTAGTAGTAAATAAAACAAATAGTATAAGTTACTTTAATTATTTGTTAAAATGAAATTTATTAAGTGTTTTTAAAGGTGAAGATTTAAACTCTGTAACTTTAGATTATAAATTAATATTTATTTTTAACGATATAACCTGGAGTAATATTGTGTTTCTTTTCAAAGTTAAAGGTGTAAATGTATACGGTGGGAGTAGTAATAGAAGACATTTGTTGTCAACTGTACAGGCTCAGTTAATGAGTTTTCTGTTGTTAATAAATGATTTTTCGGTAGATTCTGATTTGGTTTATAGAAGTTTTAATGATGTTACAACATCTAACGCAAAAATAGACTATCAGTTAATTGATTACATTAAACACGGCGAAAAAAATAAAAATTTAAATAAGTATAATTTAGAAAATAGTAGTAACGGTGTTTATTTGTTAAGAATTAACATAATATTTCATTTATATTTAAAAATTAGCTCTGTTTTGAATAAAATTGATAATGTTAACACTGATATTTCTAAATTAACGTCTGATATAAAAAATGATAACAGTACTATAGCTAAATATAGTAAAAACAGTAATTCTTTAGTAGGTTTAAACGCCCCCTTCGGGTCTATTAAAAAAATAAAAATGCCACAAAACGTATAGAATTGGCCACCTTTAACTTAGCTAAATTAGAAAAAGAAATACAAGAATTAAATAAAAATTATTGTGATTATACCTTAAAATTGTATCCTGTTGATAATACCTTATTTGACGATAAAGGTAGATGTGTGCTAAACAATAAAATTAAATTATTATTAGATAAATCTAATTGTGAAGATCATAGTAATAATGTGAATAAATAATAGTAAAGTTATATTTGCAGCAAATATAGTTTATAACCCTGTGTGCTTTCCACAGAGAAGGAGATAGAGATGTAAAATTTCTAATAGAGGCCATATCCACTTAGTGAGGTGTAAGATTCCTCCGGAATTATTTTTTTAGATTTAAACAATGATGATGATGTTTGATACTAATCTTTTTATTAATTTAAAATATAGTTTTATTATACCCTTCATTTTTTTAAAGCTAGGTAACGAAATACCAGCTGATGTAGAACCTATTATTACTTACAGTTTTAATATGTTTATTCTATCTTTAATAACTTTAGTTTGTTTAATCAATATTATAGGTTATTTTATATCAATATATTTAATCAATAAATATGACGTAGAAAAAAGATATCCCAAATATATTAAAATAATTAGATACTTTGAAAAAAGTCAAATTCTTTTTGTTATAATAGAAATAATAATATGCTTTTCTTGCTTGATGGCTATTGTTATAATAAACTTTGGTCTATTAAGTGTTTTTATATATAAAATTATACAATTGTCTTAGATCAATTTAATTAAGTATACATTGGTGGGTTATTATTAGTCTCGAGTTGAAGCTAAAACAATATTTTTGTTAATTAAAATCGTTAACTTATTAAAAAAGTGAAAGAAATCTTTACGAGACTTTTGTAAAATACCTTTCCACTAAACTCTCAGTGAGAACAAGAAATGAGTGATCTTAGCCCTTCAGTAGGAAAAACCTGAGCCATTTTACCTTGAATGACTATTATCAGTATAACATTGGAAAACCCCTCTCGTAATTCTTCACTAAAATTATAAAAATATAAAACCCCAAGAATATGTTTTCTCTGACGGTAATCTAATTATAAAATCTTTAGTTAGACCTTGTAAATCTTTGACTCCCGTTAAAGGACAGAGTTATTTTTGAAATACTAAGTTTGTAAGAATGAAACCCTTATTATCTAACCCTAATAAGGCTTTTACAAAGCCTAAAACTAACTTGACATGTAGCTAATCTTGTTTTAGCTGATTAACCTAAGTATAAGTGTGTGTTAGTAATTTTATACCTCAAGGCCATCTCCACTAACGAAGTAATATACCTCAGGAATTACTTAATTAAATAACAAAAAAAGATAATTCAAAATAAAATAAAAATTAATAAACCTAAAAATAGGTAAAATAAAAATATATTTAATAATACAATCTTTTCATTAAATAGTTTTTCTATTGGTACTAAACTCTATTTTCATAGCTCTGCTGTTATTTTGTGTAGACATAAACTTGAAAACTTTGAAAAACTTTGAAAACTTTGAAAACTTTGAAAACTTTGAAAACTTTGAAAACCTTTTATTTAGTAGAACTTAGAGCTATTCAAGAAGTAGGAGATGCTGATAGAAGAAATATTTATGGTGATGAAAGAAGTTTACTTAATATCTTTATGTATGATGTTTACAGAGAAAGACTACTTCAAGGTAGAGATGAAGGGCCCGGTAATTTTGTTATTAAATTAAAATGTTCCCGGTACACTACCTTAAACACTAACCCTCGTCCTTTAAGAGCTATAAAATTTGCAGTTGAGGTTTCTAATAATCCTTCTGATTTAGCTACTGTTAAAGAACATACAGACAAACCTAAAAAATCAATATACCCCAAAGGGGCTTTAAACCAGGTGTAACTGTAACAGAAAGAGCTTTTTCAAAACCCCCGCTGCGTAATGTATCTGCAGAAGCCGGTTCTTCATCTTGTCTTGCCGGAACTGTAGCTGCTGAAGCATTATCTGGGATAGGAACAGCTCACCAAACGCGAAGCTAACCTGTAGTAGTAGAACAACAACTAAACAACGAAGGTGTAACAATTGCTTTATCTTCTGTAAATAGCTTAGTTTAAGTATATGAAATTTAGTTCAATAAAATAATACTTAAAAGAGTAAATAAGAGTAGTAAAATCTATTATTATTACAGGGGAAATCTGATAATGGTAATCAGTTGTACTTGCACTACAAATATGATAGTTCGATTCTATCTTTCTCCAAACTTTGGTGTCCCTTCGGGAGCCTGGTATAATAGCCTCGGTGGCTTAGCGGCTAAAGCGTTACATTGAAGTCGTAAATAGGGGAGTTCGATTCTCTCCCGAGGCATAACCCCTTTAAAGCCGATATAGTTTAATAGGTAAAACGGATTCCTTGTAAGATTTAGATATTGGTTCAATTCCAGTTTTCGGCATAAATTAACAAATGAGTTGTAGTTTAATTGGAAAAACACCATTTTTTGGTAGTGGACTATATCAGTTCGAATCTGGTCAACTCAGTAATATACTTTATAATAAACATAAGTATATTTACTTCTCGCTATAACATAAGCGATTTTTTACAAAGTAAGTAATTACAATTAAAGAGTCATTAAACAAGATTGTAATTAATTTTTACAACCTCGGAGCCTGCCGGGGATAAAAATGTCCGTTTTACTTCGTTCAAATTGGACCCTGCCTTAATATTAAGGTCACAAATTTTCAAGATATATTTCTATTAAATATTTATCAGGGACACAAAAACACAAAAACACAAAAACACAGGACAGTAATATAACCATAATTTAATATAAAACCTTAAGTCGTAATAATAAAAAAATCAAATAAAAAAATAATCGAACTTTTGTGCTCGCGGAGCCGCACCTTTGTAGGTTTTTAAAAGAGTTTCTTTTGCTTATTACCTTTCAGGTCTAAGTATTAAAACATTTTAACAAAAAAATAAATAAATTACAATGAAAAATATTTTTATAGATTTACTAGCTTTTGGTGCTTTATTTTCTAGTGTTTTAGTTATAACTTCTAAAAATCCAGTAATAGCTGTAACATTTTTAATCTCCGTATTCGTCAATGCTGCTGGTTATTTAATATTAACTGGGGTTGGTTTCATCGGGATATCTTACATAATAGTATACTGTGGTGCAATAACTGTATTATTTTTGTTTGTAATACTTATGCTTAACATAAAATTAAGTGATATTTTAGAAACAAGTAGTCAATATACTAAAAATATTCCTCTAGCATTAGCTATTGGTTCTATATTTGTATATGAAATATTAACAGTAATGCCTTTTAGTTTAAATAATGTAACTTCAATTTCATTAATATTAAATATTTTCACTTATTTAAATGGGATTTTCTTAAGCTCAGATATTGCTAATCTTTCTTCTGCAGGGGCTGAAAACATATTCTCAGTTAATACAACTTTAAATCCAGTAATAGCAGATACAAGTTTTAATACCTTTTTACAAATCCAATCTTTAGGTCATAGTTTATATACTTATGGTGGAATTTGGTTAATCTTATGTAGTATAATTTTATTATTAGCTATGGTAGCTCCAATTTTTATCTCTAAAATTAATAATGCCCCTTCTAAATAAGGTAAAACGATAATAAATAACTACAATTTAAGGTTAAATTAAACCCTTTTAAATATATAGGTTGAGCAATGATTTTTATTAGTATTTTAATTTTTATAGTGGCAATGGCCCTACCTTCTTTAAAATTCAATATCTCATCAATTTTATTAACTAGAATAACTTCTATAATATTGTTCTATTCTGGTGTATTAGCTTTTAATGCATTTTATATTCAGTCAATTGGATTAGGAATAGGAATATATAGTGGTTTATTCCACGTAACAACAATATCTCAACAATTAGATATATTTATTTTACTAATAGGTTCTTTAATCTTAATACCTAGACCTGGGATAATAGAATATATTAAAACAAATGGTATAAAATCAGGAAATATAATTCATACTGAGATATTATCTGGTTTAGGTGACAAATATTCTTTAATAGTATTATTTAGTACTTTAGGTTCAACTTTATTATTGTCTTCTTCTGATTTATTATCTATGTATTTAAGTATTGAATTACAATCCTTTGGTGTTTATATCCTTGCAACCTTGTTTAAAGAATCTAGATTGGCAACATCAGCTGGGTTAAAATATTTCTTATTAGGCGGATTTTCATCTTGTTTAATATTATTAGGGTCTGGTTTAGTATATTTTTATACAGGTTTAACAGGTTTAGATTCCATATATAGTTTAATATCTAGTTCAACCAATGAAAGTATAACACAAGGTTCAACCTTAGGAATAGTAATAATATTTGTAGGATTTTTATTTAAAGTATCTGCTGCACCCTTACATAGTTGGGCACCTGATGTCTACGATCAAAGTCCAAGTATAATAACAATATGGTTAACAATAATGCCTAAAATAGCAATATTTATTTTCTTATTAGATTTATTTATAGGTTCAACTTTATGGAATAATACTTCAATAATATCTTTAACATCTTTAAGATTAGGAAGTTATGATGCATTAAAAACATTATTATTATTGAGTTCTTTATTTTCATTAGTTATTGGAACTATTGTTGGATTAGCTCAATCTAAAATTAAAAGATTGTTTGCTTATTCTACCATTTCTCATGTAGGTTTTATGTTACTAGCTTTAGCTATTAATAGTGAAAGTTCAGTAGAATCTTTAATTTTTTACATTATTCAATATTCTATTACTAACTTAAATGCCTTTTTAATTATATTGGCTTTAGGTTATTTAAATTTCTTTAATAAATTAAATACAGATACAGCTAAAACAACCTTTAAAAAAGGTGTATATTCCGATAGCAGAAATATAGAAAACATAGACATAAGATTTATAACTGAATTAAAAGGGCAATTTATGTCTAATCCTTTACTAAGTTTAAGTTTAACAATATGTTTATTTTCTATGGCAGGTATTGTTTGAATGCCTCTTACTAACTAAAGTAAGTTAAGTTCGCTATATGCTGGAAACCCCTAATGGCTTGATTACCTTCGATTTATTTAATTTTATAAAAATGTTAGTTTAGCAAATAAACTTTAATGAATGTAAATATAAATCACAATGAAAAGGTGAAAATATCAAGTATGTAACAATGGACAATCAGCAGGAAACTAGTTAAAGTTTTAAAACATAAAAAAAGGATTAATATTTGTTTTTGATTGTATAAAGTTTAACAATAGGATCCTCAGAGACTACACGCGAACCGTGTATAATATTTTATTTTATACTAAAGATATAGTCCAAATTTTTATTAAAAATAATATTCAAGTTTTATCGGATACTTTACATGATTTATTTAATATTTATAGCATGTTTATCAATAATGAACAATTTGTTCTTGTCTCCATTTTCCCTTTTGGCACGTCTCAAAACATTTTACCTAAAAAAGATAAAAATCAAATTATAACATTTAATAACAATTTAATAACAATTTAATAACAATTTAATAACAATTTAATAACAATTAAATTAAATAAAATAAAATAAAATTAAATAAAATAAAATTAAATAAAATTAAATAAACAATTTTGGTTCTTATTTGGCTGGTTTAATAGAAGGTGATGGATCTTTTTATATACCTGATAATATTCGAAATAACAAAGGGAAATTAAATCAAGCAAGTATTGAAATAGTTTTTACCAAATATGACTTAAGTTTAGCCAATGAAATTAAACACCAAATTGGTGGTGGTTATCTTATTTAAAATGAAAATTATTTAGAATATTTTTTTAAAGATAAATCTTAAAGATTGCGAAGATTGCGAAGATTGCGAAGATTGCGAAGATTGCGAATAGTTAATTTGATTAATGGTCAAATGCGGACTCCTAAAATTGAAGCTTTACATCGACTTATTAACTGGTGCAATCAAATCTTTAAATATACCTCTACTAGGAGTTAATCTAACTCCTTTACAAGACAATGCATGGCTTTCTGGTTTAATAGATGCTGATGGAAGTTTTTATTTAAATTGGCTTTATGATAAATCCAAATTACCTACTAGTTTGCAGTATTATCTTCGTATTTCTCAACGGAAAACATCTCACTCAAATAATTTAACTAATTTCATATTTATGAATAATATAGCAAATTTAGTAGATATTAATTTATGATCATATGAACGTAAAAGATTTAATTATATTATATTACTCCCATTAAATAAATTAAATAAATTAAATAAATTAAATAAATTAAATAAATTAAATAAATTAAATAAATTAAATAAATTAAATAAATTTCTTTTTATCGAGAGTATAAAATTTCAGGTGCAATAAAAAACTTGAACAATTAAAATTCAAAATGAAAAGTCATTCAGTTTTAGATCACAATAAATATTTAAAATCTTATTTTTATAAAAATTGATTCCGCCATTTATAGGTTTCTTTTCTAAACAAATGGTATTATATTCAGCAATACAAAATGGTTATTACTTTATGTCAATAGTAGGAATAATAGTAAGTGTAATTAGTGGATCTTATTATTTAAAAATAGTAAGAATATTATTTACTGACTCACTACTATCAGAAACTAAAGAAACTAAAGAAACTAAAGAAACTAAAGAAACTAAAGAAACTCCTCAATATTTATTAAATGATAAAAATAAACCATTTGTAAAAATAAATGATAATTATTCAGTTTCATACTATATAACTAGTTTCCATAGTTTTTTAATATCAACTTTAACATTAATAATTTTATTATTCATCTTTAAACCTTCATTGCTATTAAACAGTACTCAATTATTATCTTTATCTATATTTAATTGTTAATTATGAATATCTCTACTTTAGCTGTTTTATTTGTTCTTGTACCTGTTTTATCAATAGTTTTATTAGCTTTAAATGTTTTATTGGCTCCAAGTAGACCTGATGAACAAAAAGTATCTGCGTATGAGTGCGGCTACTCACAGATAATAGGTCAAACTAGATCTGTATTTCATATCAAATTTTACTTAGTAGCTATGTTGTTTTTAATATTTGATTTAGAGGTTTTACTTTTATTACCCCTAGCTGTTACTTTATATCACATTAGTTTCTTTGGTTTCTCCATTGCTATTCTATTCTTTTTAGTGTTAACTATTGGTTTCGTATTAGAAATAGGATCGGGTGCAATAAACTTTACTACCTCATCTTCAAAATAAAGTTTCAACCCTTTTCCCCAGGGAAAATAATATGTCAACTGTACTTCATTATCCAACCCAAATACAACCAAATAACTCAAATAACTCAAATAACTCAAATAACCCCAAAAGACCAGAACAAATCAATAAAAGTAAA